ATTTCAAATATTTCTTTAAATATTTCTTTTCCATTAGAAATTCTTGTTGAGAATTCTCTGTTCAGCTCTGTACCCCATTTTTAATTGGGTTATTTGGTTTATTGGTGTCTAATTTCTCGAGTTCTTTTTGTATTTTGAATATTAGACTTCTGTTGGATATAGGGTTTGCAAACCTCTTTTTCCTTTCTGTTGGCTGCTGTTTTGTCCAATTGATAGTGCCCCTTACCTTACAGAAGCTTTTAAGTTCATGAGGCCCTTTTATTAAACATTGATCTTAGTGCCTGGGCTGTTGGTGTTCTGTTCAAGAAGTTGTTTTTTCTGTGCCAATGAGAAGGCTATTTTCCCACTTTCTCTTCTAAGAGATTTAATATTTTATTTTGGGGTTTTTGGTGCACTTAAGTTTTGTTCAGGTGATAAGTATGGATCTATTTGCTTTCTTCTACAAGAAGACCTACAGTTAGATTAGCACCATTTGCTGAAGATGCTACCTTTTCCCCATTGTATGACTTTGGCTTCTGAATCATCTAATGTGGGCCCGTGGGGGCTCACAGAGACTGAACCACCAACCAAATAGCATGCAAGACCACTTGGGCTCCCTGCACATATGTAGCAGATGTGCAACCTTGTCTTCATGTGGATCCCGCCAAAACTGGAGAGAGGGCCCTCTCTGACTCTGACGCCTTTCTTTGGATCCCTTCCCCTAACCAGCTGCCTTGTTTGCCCTCAGTGAGAGAGAATGCAATAAGTTAATGTACCAGGGTAGGTTAGTATCCACAGGGGAACTTCCCCTTCTCCAAGCAGAAGGGGAGTGAAGAATGCAATGCACAAGTATGGGTAGAGTGGAGGAGCTTGGAGGAGAGAAGGGGGCTGCAATCAGGCTGTAAAATTAATAAGTAAATTAATTTCTTTTAAAAAGAAGAGATAATTTGTTCCACTGGGCAGAGACAAGTAGCCAGTGAAGTTAGAAGCCTCTCAAAACTAAGCCAGAACGTTACTCTGGTCAGGTTGTTAGGATGCTATACTCTAGGCTAGGTGTCCTCCACACTTTTTCCTCATCTTTGCATGAGGACATTTCTTCTTTTATGGGAAAAGACTTTGCTTTTCCTGAAAATTTCTATAGAGTCAATCCAAGAACCCAGCTTGTTTCAGTGTCTTATTTTCCTTCAATTTCTCTTATAAGATATAAGTGGCCACAGTTGCAGGTTAGAAAAGGAGTAATAAAATGTCGAGAACACACAAAAAAAATTTCCCTGGATAGAACTGAGCTGTGATTTTAATGTACATTCCATCATATTGTTATCCAAACACACTCTGAGTTTAATTTCTGAGTTACAAATCTTCCCTGGTGCATTAACAAAAGTCATCATCTCCCTGTCATAATCTGGTTACACTACAATTTCCTGTTCATTTTTAGTAAAATCTCTGATGTAAGTGCAAACTAGCTAGGTTTAAAAAGCTCATTGTCTTAATTAATATAATTTAAAATTTTTACTGATTAATTTTTCTTCAATTATTTCACTTTTGTACATATTGTATACTTATTTTTACTCTCTCCAGATTTTCATACCGAAAAGTGTCTTTCTCACATCCTTATTTATTTGATTTATTGTATTTGCTCAGTTTAAGCAGAGCCTTCTGTGTGACCTGGGGTTTAGAGCTCTCCACTGGAGGCTGATGTGCTAAGCAGAGTATATACAACTAAAGGCAATAATTATCCATTTCCAGGATCTGATCAAGAGCCAACAGCTCCACAATAAGAAGTATGGCTTTATGACCCATCTCCCATCTATGACTAATGACTGACCAGGCCAGTCTTATGCCGGTCCAGGGCAAGTAACTTCAGCTCCAATGAGCTCATGGAGGTAATGGCTGTGTCAGGCCTAAAGGATAGCATTTTTGCCATAGTTTTCCTTGTCCATTGCCCTTTTCTTCAAGGTTCTTTGAGCCTTAGAAGGGGAGTACAAATATCTGGTAGGACTGACCCTTCGATTGCCACTTATCATCAGCATCTTGACATGTTGAAGAAATGTAAGCAGTCTTTCAATTAGCAAGCACCTGTGCCTTGCTGTTTGCTGGGCTCTGGGAAGAAGTAAATATGAGCTAGGTTCCTGCATTTGATGGAGGAGGAGCAATGCAAAAGAACAAAGCTGTCTTGCATTCTTGTGTTCAGGCACTATGGGTGTGCAGAGGAGAGTGCCTTAAATGTGACTTGCTGAGAGGTGGGGTCAGGGGCCACAGTGAGGAGGGGGCTCTTAGGAGTAATTCCAAACAAATGTATCAAGAAACCATGTTTTCCTCTAGGGTTCTTGCTGTAAACCTTTTATGACCTGAAACATAAGATTTTATTACAGTTATTTTTGAAGGCACACTTGTTTAAATGTGGTTTGGGGAACAAAATCACCACTCTATTGTTCTGAACTCAGGGCTCTCTGAGGCAGTGAATTGCCCCGTCACACACAGTGCAGGACACATTTCCATTCATTTGCCTGACATTTTCCTTCCGAAGGGAAGAACAAGCCAGTTTGTTCTCATCTTCTCAAAAAATATGAAATGTGTTGCCAATTATCTCCTTAAGCTCTCCACAAAAGGCAAGACTAGCCCACAAATCCCCCCCAGAGAAATGCCAGTGTATGCCATATTTCATTTGCGTTTTGTTTAACGTCCTCACTGAAGGGGTAAGAAATGTTCAATTGTCATGGAAACACATTAATAACAAGTCCAATTTATCTCTGCACAAAGTGGAAAGACACGGTTCATGCTCTTCAGAATTAAGTTTCCTTTTCTTCTTTGCACATTTACCATTTTATTTTTGGTTTTGTGTTTTGTTAACCATCAATCCAATAAGATTTCTACAATGCCAAACAGTTGTCACAGTATAAATTGTGACAACGGGAAGAAAGAAACTTCTTAAAATAGTCCTTTGTGTTCACTGTGCTGAGAGCTCCACATTTACTGGATCCACAGTAGTGGTTGCTGAGGAGAATCTTATTGTTATTTTCCTTAGGGTCTTCGTAAAACTCATAAATATGAAGTAACTTATACGGAGAAAATCCCAGCAATACTAACAACTATGGGACTCAACTTTTATATAAGACTGAATCCCATGTCTTGCTCTAACTTCTTGCTTTTCTTTGCAATCTGAAAAGACCTAAAAGGCATCTTAGTTCGGCTTCTATTGCTGTGATTAAGGAAAGTCAGGATCAAAAGCTGCTTGAGAAGAATATAGTTTATTTCAGCTTAAATCTTTAGGCTAGCATGAAAGTAAGTCAGAGCAGGAACACACAGGAGAAACTTGGAGGTTGGAACTAAGGCAGAAACCATGGAGGAGCCCTGCTTATTGGCTAAAATCTCATGGTTTCCTCACCCTGCTTTCTTATACCATCTGGGACCATCTGTCCAGAAGTGGTACCACCCAAGGTGAGCTGGGCCGTTCTACAACATCCATTAAGAAAATGTACTCTAGACTTGCCATTAGGCAAAACATTTTCTTAATTTTTATTTTATTTTTATTAATTACAGTTTATTCACTTTGTATGCCAGCTGTAGTGCCTCCCCGGTCCTCTCCCGATCCCACTCTCCCTCCCTTTTCTTGTCTTATGCTCCTCCCCCAGTCCATTGATAGGGTAGATCCTTCTCCCCTTCCATCTGACCCTAGCCTATCAGGTCTCATCAGGACTGGCTTCTTTGTCTTCCTCTGTGGCCAGGTAAGGCTGCTCCCCCCTCAGCTGGAGGTGATTTAAGAGCCAATCACTGAGTTCATGTCAGAGATGGACCCTGTTCTTATTAGAGAGCCCACATGGACACTGAACTGCATGGGATACTTCTGTACAGGGGTTCTAAGTTATCTCCATGCATGGTCCTTGTTTGGAGTATCAGCCTCAGAAAAGACCCCTGTGCCCAGATTTCTTTGGTTCTGTTGCTCTCCTTGTGGAGCTCCTGTTCCCTCCAAGTCTTTCTATCTCCCACTTCTTTCATAAGATTCCCTGCACTCTGCCCAAAGTCTGGCTATGAATCTCAGCATTTTCTCTGATACCTTGCTGTGTAGTCTTTCAGAGACCCTCTTTGATAGGCTCCTGTCCTGTTCACTGTTTTCTCTTTCTTCTGATGTTCATCTTGTTTGCCTTTCTGAATGAAGATTGAGAATCTTACCAGGGTCCTCCTTCTAGATTAGCTTCCTTAGGTGTACAGATTTTAGTATGATTATCCTATATTATATGTCTAATATCTACTTATAAGTGAGTATATACTATGTGTGTCTTTCTGCTTCTGGGATATCTGACTCAGGATGATCTTTTCTAGATCCCACCATTTGCCTGCAAATTTCATGATTTCTTTGTTTTTAATTGCTGAGTAATATCCAATTGTATAAATGTACCTATTCAATTGTATAAATGTACCACAATTTCTGTATCTATTTCTCCATTGAGAGATATCTGTGTTGTTTCCAGCTTCTGGCTATTACAAATAAAGCTGCAACAAACATAGTTGAGCAAATGTCCTTGTTCTGTACTTGAGCATCTTTTGGATACATGTGGAAGAGTAGTATAGCTGGATCTTGAAGTACCACTATCCCTAGTTGTCTGAGAAAGGGCAAGATTGATTTCCAAAGTGGTTGTACAAGTTTATATTCACACCAGCAATGGAGTAGGGTTCCCCTTTCTTCACAACCTCTCCAACATGTGTTGTCATTTGAATTTTTGACCTTAGCCATTCTGATGAGTGTAAGGTAAAATCTGAGGGTTGTTTTGATTTGCATTTCCCTGTTGATTAAGGATGTTGAACATTTCTTTAAGTGTTTCTCAGCTATTTGATATTTCTCTATTAAGCATTATCTGTTTAGCTCTGTACCCCATTTTTTAATTGGTTTACTTGATCTGTTGCTGTTTAACTTCTTAAATTCTTTGTATATTCTGTATATTAACCCTCTGTCAGATATAGGGTTGGTGAAGATCCTTTCCCAATCTGTAGGCTGTCCTTTTGTTCTGATGACAGTGTCCTTTAAAAATATGGAACACTTCAAGAATTTGTGTGTCATCCTTGTGCAGGGGCCATGCTAATCTTCCCTGTAGTGTTCCAATTTTAGTCTATGTGCTGCCAAAGCCAGCACTAGGCAAATCTTTAGAGACTTTTTCTCAATTAAAATTTCTTTTTCACAGATGTCCCTCGTTTGAGTCAAGCCGATAAAAAACAAAACAAAAACAAACAAAAATCCCTAATCAGCACCATAAAAAAACCATACTAATATACTTATTTTATTCTTCCCTTTATTGTGCATATTATATGTGTGTGTGTGTGTGTGTGTGTATTACATTTAACAACCTGCAAAAACACTTTTCATAGCCTTTTTCAGTGTTATGAGGTGACTCTTTGCAAACCCTGTTTTTATAAAATAAGAAACACAGGCATGGGTAGAAATAACTGTTTTAAGCTGTATGATAGCAGAGGCAGAATACAAGAAGAAACGATTCTAAATTCCATGCTGACTGACCTCACAGTCCTGTCTCACCTCAAAAGCAAATTCAACTTGGTTTCCTGCCTCTGCAGAGCTTAGCATTTGCTAAGTCAGGCATTCTATCATTACTGTAGTACCGAGCAATTTAAATAGCATTTAAATAGTGTGATTTTTAAGGGCCCCTTTTGTGCACTCACTCTCTCCATCATTGCCCTTTTGATTCACATGCACACACATACACACACAAACACACATACACACATACACACATACATCCTGAATACTAAGGACCCATTTGAAGACATAGCTTAGAGGCCACAGCACAGTGGAGACATTTCAGATTACTACTGATATTTAAAGTGTTTATATTTTATTTTAGGACAGTTCCTCAATATTTTTTCTATAATCTAATTGAAAACTGAAATAGAATATTTAAAAATTAATGTTTTTCATGCATCTGAAAATATCTATTGTTATGCAACTTATTTGGCATTATTTGTATTTGATTACGTCTATGCTTTTTGTCTCAAACACAAAAGAAAGTTTCTTAACTGTCACAGATATTTCTGTTATGGGGCATAAAACTTATTGAAGAGAATTATTTTAGAATTTGAATAGTATATCTTATGACCCCAATTCACTCCATCATTTATATAATACTTATTTAATTTGAATAATTATTAATTTAACTATTGTTGTTGGTAATAAAAGGGTGTAGGGCTATTGTTGCTTATTACTAGCCCTATAATTGTTATGGCAGTATTATTTAACCCGCTCTCATAATCTATAATACACAGATACCTTTAGATTTTATAATTGCCTTATTTACCTTGGGATGGGCAGATACTTCAGCTATGTTATTTCAATAACCTCACCATCCACCTCCCAGCCCCCATCCATTTTCCTCTGTCTTACCATCCTTACCTGAGCTACCTTTCATCATACTCTTATAAATACTTGCTTGTATTCTTCATATGGGCCTTTCCACACCATTATTGGAGTCCTTCCTCCTGGCCCACATGGTTACTGTTCCACACTAACACATGGTGGCTTCCTTTTGATTCCTCTCTTCCTACATTTCTGTCTCCTTGCCATGATTTCCCTTTCCCCATGACCCAGGAACCTTAGCCACACCTAACTCCTTCCACCCTGCCCAGGTCCCAGGAACAGGCCTTTTTATTAACCAATCAGGAATAATGTCTTAGGCAGATTTACACAACAAAGATAGGGCAATAAGCAGATCTTGTGAGCCAGTAACTAGCACCAAAATACAAACATCAGACCAACACCCAACAAGCTATTTAGAATAATAAGGTTCCTATTAAGTATTCCTTTCCTGGTTAATTTAATTAGATATCAAGTAGCTAATTTTACCAACCTGGAATTTTATATATTCAGAAAGCATTGTAGGTCAGTAGTAAGAAGAAATCAATTTATAGAAACACCAAAAGGAGATATTCTTTTTTTTTCTTTTTCTTAATTTATTTATTCTTTATTCAGATATTCTTTATTTTCAATGTTAGTGAAGTTAATAATAATTTCTACTTGGGTCAATGTAACCCATTGTATGGGAATAAATGACAGAAAAATATAGGTTTTGTTTTTGCAGCTTTCAAGTACCTCACTATTAATGCCGTTCCACCCTAATTCCAAATCAATGCCTAATAACAGGATGTGTTCTTTCCCTTCAAAATAATATTTATTAAATTGGAGAAAGAAAAGACTCAAATAACTTTTTTTTACCCTTATTGATGTTTTCATAGGTATATAGAATATACATAATATATATCTTATTAACTAGAACCAGTTTTAAAATAAAAATCCAATGGTGAGTGATATATGTGTGTTCCTAGGGAGGCATATGTAAGCAATAGCAATTAGTGACAAAGCCATATGTCTTCAAAAAAGTTTGAAGGACATCATGGTGTGTAATATGGCTTTGAAGCCAGAAAAGGGTAGTAAAAATATTATAATATAATTATATTATAATCTCAAAAAATTTTAATGTTACTATAGATGAAATGTTGAGAAAGGACTTTATAATAGAGATATTAAGCATTCAAAGATACGTAAATCCCAACTATTAAGATAACAATTGAGTCGTTTTTTGTTTGTTTGTTTCAAATCCATTTTTCTGTTAAGTGGTTCCATTGAATGGTTCCTAACCTTGCTGGTTTGATAATCTTACACTGTAGTCACCACAGCTGCCATATTTAAATTCCCCCCTTTAAAGTTGTATTTTTTATTTCTTTAATAGTTTCATGCTTATATATAATGCTTTCAGTGTTTTTACTTTTCATCCTTCTCCCTCTCCCGCTGACACGTTCCGTTCCGTCTGACCAGCTAGACCCCTTCTTATATTCTTGACTCACTGAGTTTAACTAGGATGGATTATAGGAAACTTGCTTGGGTAAGATATTATTTATTAGAACACATAGGACTTCTCAGTGGATACACTGCTGAGGCAATGACACTCCAACCCCCAGCAAGCGTTAACTGCCAATAGTCTCTCAGGGAGAGGTGGGACCCTGGGGTTCTTTTTGGTCCATGACGATCCACTGATTTACTTTGTGCAGGTCTTGTGGACATAACCACAGCACCAGTGAAATCAAAAGTGAGTGCAAGGGCTATCCCTTGCCTAGCAAACATTTTTTTTTTATAGTGGAGGGTTTTTAAATTTTTATTTTTATTAATTACAGTTTATTCACTTTGTATCCCAGCTGTAATGTCCTCTCCTGTCCTCTCCCAATGCCACCCTTCCTCTTATTCTTCTATACCCCTCCCCCAGTCCAATGATAGGGGAGGTCCTCCTTCCCTTCCTTCTGACCCTAGTCTATCAGGTCTCATCAGGACTGGCTTCATTGTCTTCCTCTGTGGACTTGTAAGGCTGTTCCCTCATTAGGGGGAGGTGATTAAAGAGCCAGTGAGTTAATGTAAGAGACAGTCCCTGTTCCTATTACTGGGGAACCCCCTTGAACACTGAGCTGACATGGGCTACTTCTGTACAGTGGTTCTAGGTTATCTCCATGAATGGTCCTTGGTTGGAGTATCAGTCTCAGAAAAGACCCCTGTGCCCAAACTTCCTTGGTTCTGTTGCTCTCCTTGTGCAGTTCCTGTCCCTTCCAGGTCTTTCCTGTCCTTTCTAGGTCTGTACAACTTTAAGCTGTGCATTTCTCATTTTTCTAGCTCTCACATTTCTACTCTTTGTCTTCTGCAATATTTCTTGACCCTGGGGTGGGTTGTGAAATGTTTGTGGTGATTTTGTTGTTATTCTTCTTGTTTTATTATTATGTTATCTGATCAGAAGCTCAAAGCGAAATTTGTATCCTAATGAAGTACAGGGTGTGGAAATCTATGCTGCTTTCCCCAGCTCAGAGTTAAAACTAAGCTATTATTTTAATAATAAAAGGATATAATTATTGTTTTATGTTTAATGTTATCCCAACCACCCTATTGATTTTATTTTCATGTTTGCATTTTTAAATATTCATTGATCTTGAGCTGAATTTTGCCAAATTACAGCCTCTGAAAGAAATTAAAGCCCTGCTTTTCAGAACTGATATTTTAGTTGAAAAGAAGAAAGTTAACCACTTAATTAATTGATCACAAATTTGTCATTTTATAAATGTCATGGATTCTACTATGGAGAGATGACTGAGAGTTTGTTACAGGTTTTTCAGGCCAGGACACAAGCCATGACTGGAGTGACATCCCAGAAGAAAGAGACATTATAGATGAAGGTTGAAATGAGCTTAATAAATATTAAGGACAGAACAGAATGAATCTAAGCTCTTTGCAAGGGATAAAGAAGAAAATTATAAAAAAACAATACATAGAATAAATGGGCCCCTTTGCTACAAATAGTTTAGAGAAATCAACATAATTCCATAACGCTGAAATATCATTTTTTAAGGATAAAACATGATTGATTTATATTTTGAAATGATTTCTTTTACCCCATTTCAGAAAAATTAGTATTGTCAGTGGTTTAATGAGATTTGGTAGAAATAGCAACAGAGATTTCATTCTTTCAAACACTGTATAGTTAAGAATACAAAAATTGTCAACCTGGATTAGAAGAGAAAAGACTCTTCTAATCTAAAAGACATAAAAATCTAAAAGAAATATGTTGGATCTGGCCATTTCCAGGGCAGATATGTGTAATACATGTCTAATTTACTCAACTATTCAATAAAACACAGGTGTCCTAGGAGGGAGTCACAGGCCAGAGTCTCAGGCCTTCATCAAATGGCACCTCATTCTAGATGTTTATTCTTCATTTTCAGGCAATTAGCAGTGGAGTAGCAGAGCCATTCAAGGACGTAAACTTCATCAGTTCTGTAGATCAGAATCCAAATAACCTCAGCAATAAAAATTTATCCCATGATTTGTAAAAATCATGATGTAGCCAGAATCATCTCTCAGTTAAAATTCATCTATTCTCCAAAGAAAGCAATATAGGCTGAAATAAGCTAAACATTGGAACGGATAAATTAGGATTAGCTAAACATGGCTGTAAATGTGTGATTCTTCAGCTACAACACTTCCCTGTCAGAGCATCCAAGCAGCGGTAGTGTAAGAAACGTGCTACACTGATATTCTCACTCACAGAGCAGTCGGATGAGATGTGAAGGGGATAGTCTGCTTTCTAGTAA